TTGATCTTTTATTATATTGTTTCACTAATGCCAACAAAACCCTGCCAGGAAAATATCGCCGTCTTACAGATGAGAAAACTGAGATTCAGAAAGGTAAACGAAGTTCCCCCAGGTCACACACAGCTCGTGAGTGACAGAGCCAGTCTCAGAAGTCAGATCTGTCTGACTCTAAGGAGCTGGGATCTTCCCACTCGGATATTCTGACTCAAAGTAAGAGTCTCCTCTGAGTCAGAAATTATAAAATTAGAATTTCATTCAGCAATTCACAAAATCTTAAGGCTGGAAGACGGTTTGAAGGTTGTTCAGGTCTAGGACCTGGGCAGATGTCTGAATCTCCTGCATAACGGCCTGGCTGCTACCAAGTGTAGGAAGTGCATTTTGTCGCGATTCAGCCCCTGCCTGCTTAGGGTTATTGGACAGTCCTTTTGGGTTTAGAGCTGAAATCTCTCTCCCCATAGTGTCCACACATTGAGTCTGTCCTTGGGAACACAGAACCCAAGCAGTGTATCCCTCCTGAGTTGTCTTTCTCCAGACTACACGTTCTCCCTTCCTTCCAACCTTCTCCCAGATGGCAGCTTCTCACGGCTCTCCTCTGCGTGGGCTCTGGTTCAGCCTCACGGTGAGACCCCAGCATGACTCCAGCACTCCAGAAGTGAGCTGACCGGCCCAGGGAAGAATAGGACCAGACTATAACCCCTTCATTTATTTCACAGGTTAATATGCTGGGACTCATTTTGATCATCATGAATAATAACCCTTAAGTTCCTTTCCCATGTGCTGTTCCTAAGCCACATCCTCTCCCGCCCCTTGTCCAGCTGGGCTTGGGATGTTCATGACCTTTCTCTTCATGTAGGCAATACCTAACAAGAGCTCCTGGGCAGTCTGGCCATTCCCCTGCCACGTGGGGCCACTCCTCAGTGCTCCCTGGCACCACTGACCCACTAGGGATCAGTCACATGCTCCCTTTGGCCTCTGCTCTGGATGTCCACTCTGAGACTCTGCCAAGGAGTCCCCCTGACTCAGTCGCCCTTCACCAGGCATGCTGGCTCTTCACTCCCAGATTCCTTATGCACCCCAGGTGTCACCTGGGAATGTCTCGACACACCCTCATACAGGCCATGTAGAAGCAAGGGCCGCTGTCTCAGACCCTCCCTTTGCTGAAACACAACTTGCCAGTGTTTCCACCTTGCCATGACACTCCTGTATAGATACCCGCAAAGGATTCTCTTCCCAGTGATCCAGATGTGAAGTGAGGCACTTTCCACTTCTTGTCACCGTATCTGGGCTTTTCTACCACCTTGCCCACCCCCAGCCTGAGTCCATGGGCAGTAGGCGGGGCACACAGCTTCTTACCCTGACTCCTTGCCCCTCTGAGTCTCACTCCACACTTCTCCAAGCACCAGATGGATCTTTCTTCCTTCCTGTGGGGCACTTCTTTGTGTCGAACTCTCTGTTCTCTACACAACGCTTGACACATCACTCTGTGCTCAGATCCCTAAGCTTTGCCCCAGATACAGAAAAGGGATCTTCTTGGAAAATAGAAAAACTTCTCCCTCTCAACAGCCAGTTTCTCAAGATTACTGATTACTAGCTTGCTATGGACTTTCAGAAATCTAATTTGAAATGCAAAACTGAGCAAGACTTCTTCGTTCCAGGATATGAGGTCTTCCCTAAACCACAAACCTATTGATTCAGTGAGTAGGAGCATCTTCTTGATTACTGAGAGTGAAAACTCATTATTCTAATATCTCAGAAATAATATCTAATTTCTTTCTCATGGCCCAAGACAAACATCTAAAAGATCTTATGGCTTTTCCTCCCATCCCTATACACTCTTCTCTCCTCCCCACCAAATCCTCCATACGTCCTGATTCTGCTTCCCCCAGAACTCTACTTGACTCTCCATAAATACATCTGTGAGTTATCATTTGGGGTTCTGCTTCACTCACTAGTCAGCCCACCTTGTGGCATGAAGGTCACACCCCCAAAGATGTGCTGGCATCTGCTCACATCACTGTGTTTTCAACACAGGCATTAGCATATTTCAAACCAATGGAACTGTGATTATTTTCACCCAGCAATATCACTCTCCACTTAGTATGGATGGGAAAGTGGGGCTTGTTTGTGTTTAAACCACATAGCCCAAATTTTTATAAGCCTAGATGCAACGAGGTCGAAACCAGTGGCCACCATACCTCCCCGTCACCTTCCAGAAGCATCAGGCCTACAGCACCCCCGTCCAGCACTGACCCCAGGGTCTCTGCTTCTAAACCTCATCCTCACCCAACCCTGCAGATGCCCTGCAACCAATAAGGCCTCCCACAGGTCTGCCTTGACCTTGATTTTGAGCCAGTCCCCAGTCAGCAGGATGCTGCGGGTTTACGTGGCGTCCATGGCTCAAATCCCTTCACGTTCTGTAGAATTTCCCTGTCATGGGAACTGTTTTTCATCTGTTCTCTTAAATGAATTTTAGGTTCATTCGTTCATTCACCAAGCAAGCATTTATGAACACCTGCACTGTCAGGCACTGTTCTGGGCACTGCAGCTATGCGGATCAACAGGCTGGACAAAGCCAGGCTTTCGAAATCCATTCTGGTGGAGACGCACAATGGACCAGGACACAGGTAAACAAGCAAGAGCACTACAGAGTGATTGCATTCTGTTCTCCGAAGGGAATAAGTAGTTAGTGTAAGGGAACACAAAAGGACACACTTTAGAGAGGGAGACCAAGGAAGACTTCTCGGAGGAGGGGACTAATATTAAATTGACACGTGCCAGATGAAAAGAGGCAGCAGAGAGGAAAAGCATTCCAGACTGAGAGGAAAACAAGAGCAAAAGCCAGAGCCAGGGCTGAGCCTCATGTCTTCCAGCAATCAGGGGAATGGGGGCTGAGAAAAGAGAAAGGCGGTGAGCTAGGCAGGGAGACCACGTGGGCCTGGCACGTCAGGGAAAGAGCTGGATTTCACTGTACGTACCGGGAGGAGACACGAACCATGAACACTTTCAAAGCCCGCTCTGGCTACGGTGTGGAAAATGGAACAGGGGATGGGACAGGGGAGGGACTGGGAAGGAAAGAAGCCGGTGAGGCTCTCCCACTTGTCCCCACCGGAAATGATGACCAGGATGTTGGTAATGAAGACGGAAGGCAGTGGGAGGGTGGAGATGCAATTTGGAGGGGGGGTAATTCAGAGGGAGGTCTGCCCTTTGTCATGTTGCTGTTGTCAGACTTTGGGAAAGTGCATGAAGGAGCATCGCACCCTGGGAGTCAGACAGACAGAGGTGAGGAGTGAGGGATGTGTGTCAGACAGAGGCGGGAGGACTGGGAGACAGATTCTGCTGTGTGTGTGTGTGTTTGCACACGTGTGCACACATGCAAATGATTTGGGGGAGAACTGAAAGCCTTCTAGAAAGATCCAGGAGGGGTGGGGATGGAAAGAGGCAGAGGTGGGCCAAATACCAACAACCTGGAAATTGAAAGGAGCTGTGCTTCTGGCCATGCCATCATTGCCCCCCTCATGAAGTATCCCGGTCATGACAAAGGCATGGTGAAAATTAACTGCACATCAGAACTAAATTGCTTTCTCCTATTGTTTCCTCATAAATATGGGGTTTTGAGCCATAGGTGGGCATCTCCAGCCTCCCTTCAGCACTTTGCCTCCATTTGTAACAGTGATTCTTTGAAGGAACTGGTTCCACGTTCCTGGTTCCTGACGAGGGGCCTGTGAATAAACCCTGGGAGGACAACTTCCAGGACAGTCACCCTACCTGAGGCAGGGCGGCTAACTCACGCCCTTTTCGCACATGGCACTGCCACAAATCAGCTTTTTCCTACAAATCAGTATCTCTGCTGCTCACTCATGGGCAGCTTGTGGCCAGCTACGACACTCCAGGATTTATTTTCTTCTGTAGTTTTGCCCAGAAGTGTCTAAGCTGTTCATTTTTGTGCCAACTCAAAGTAGAATGGCCCAGAGTAGTCATAGGAGGAAGCATTTTTAAGAGGGTCTTTTCAAGAGAGCCATACCTCCTTATGAGCAAAAGCTAAAGAAAGTATATTAGAGTCAAAGGTGAAAATGAAGCCGGTACCTGAGGGGTACTGTAGATTAAATCAATTTGCTGTTTTCCTGTTTAACTTGAGGGGTGACTCAGGGGTCTCGAGGATTTGTGAGCCTGTTTTCCAGAAGATTTGTGAGCTTGTTTTGCAGGAGAAAGAGAATGCCCTCAGGGAGGTTGCGTTCACCAAGAATGGCCAGCCCTCAGCAGTTGAAGCCCAGAGGTCAGATTGCCCAGGGGCTTAACGGGAGTGACCCCTTTGCTTCCCCAAAGCTCCTCCTGCAAAGCCCCTTAGCTCTATAAACCGCACCCTCCCCTGCTCTCTGTTCTTGAGGGCATGGATTTGAGCGAACCCAGGCTCCCACCAACTCATTTTGGCCAATTGGAATAAATCTTTCTCCATCTCCAAGCACGGATGTCTCCGTGTTTGGCTTGCACAGGAATTTGAGATTAAAGGATTCGGTATCCAAAAAATGCTCATTTTTAAAGACCTATAAATGTAACCCAAGATTTCCCAGATCCTGCCAGTCTGAGCCACAAGAACTATAGGAACCCATTATTGGATGGTTCTGAGCCACACCTGCTCTAGGCACCCCCTGTGACACCCCACCCGTATTTCTGGATGTCTCCAGAAGGGCTCTTGAGAAGGTCTCAGAGAGGACTGTGGTCAGGGGCTCAGGCAGACGGGAGCTCCGCCCATGACTGGAGGTGTGAGCCTCAGTTTCCTCATCTGTAAACTATGAAATGTACAATCTGAAAGTGGGGATTAGTCTCGCCTCCAGGTATGATGAAATGATCTAATTCCTGTAAAGGACCAAAGCACGGTGCTCAGGTCTAGGAAGTGCTCAAAAATGATACTTCCACCACCAATCACATCATTATCATCATCAATACCCATCCCTCCGCAGCCCCCTCCCCTGACTAGGGCGTTCTTCCCAAGCCCAGTTTACCACGCCTCCGAGTCCAGTCTCGGCTCCAGGGATCCTGCTGTCTTCATGCAAGTGGCGTCCTCACCAGCCTGCCCCACCAGACATGCCCAGGCATGCCTCCTCACCCTGAGCCTCGGGCTGGGCTGCTGCCACAGAAATGCAGAAGTCTGGAGATGCACGGCCAGAAACACACCGCTAGCAATCCTGCTGCTCCCTGTCCCTGGCTGCCCCCTCCTGCAAGGCGTGCCACCCCCGGGCTCCCGGGCCAGGCCAAGACTCTGAAGAAACTAGCTCCTGGCAGGGGTCACAAATAAAACAGGAGCATTCCCAAGAGTCCCTGAAATTATCGGCAGGCCCTGGGAGAGGTCAGTGGTGAAAGCCATGGATGAATCATCCATGATAAAATCAGGCAAATGGGAGAAAATGGCTGGGACACAAAGAAACTTGGAGGTGCCGACAAGGAAAGGTGGGAACAACACAGCAGCTTCCCCAGTCCCTGCCCCCTGTGCAAGTCCAGCATTGTCAACACAAAGCCAGAAAAACACTTGAGGCAGCATTCCCCAGACTGAGACTTAAATGCCAACTCTGTCATTTGTAGAGTGACCTTTGACAAGTCTCTCGTCTTCTGGGGGAACCACAATTTCCTCATTTAACACCAGAAGAGCGGCCTAAACTGCTTGTCCATCTGCAGCGAGCCCATTGCCATCACCTTCACCTCAGCTACGCTCAGCGGACTGATCTTTGTCTTCCCTGCACACCTGATGTGTGCTGAAGGGCAGCAGAACGCGCCAGCCCAAAATACGCCACTTGGGCATAAGGACTGTTTTGAGCTGAAGGCAATGGAAAAGAAAATACAAGAAAAGCTCTCTGCCCTTCCTCTATTTGCTCTGAAGCAGGGCACAAATGTGTAAAGATGTTCCCCTCCCTTGTCTAGCAGGAAGGTCAGAAGTTAATCACCAGAGACAACGCTAGATGCTTATCAGCCCAGAGGTGGCCCCAGAGGAACCTACATCACAAACTCGACTAACCAGCACTGTCTTCCACTAGCCTCCCCCATATATTTGCCTTCCCACAGGTTGCTGCCTTTGGAAGCCTACAACCCTTTCCCTTTGTGTTGTCACTTTTCTACAGATGTATTGCTCTTTTGTTCAAATGCTGCATCAGTGCAAGTTCTCACCACCGCTTTGAGTCACTCATCACTGAATGTCCCCATGTGTACGCGTGATGCGTACTAAGCTTCTGCTGGTTTTGCTCTTGTTCATCTGTCTTTTGTTAGTCTAATTTGCAGGGCCCAGTCATTCAGCTCAGGTGTATAGAGGAAAAAGAATAGTTTTTCCTCCCCTCCAGGAGCACAGGCTGGTGGTTGCCCGAGGAGTCTCCTTCTGGGAGCGGACTGGGGCGGGGGTTGGGGGAGTGGGGGAGCGTCATCATTCCCACGCTGGGCTGCAAGTACTCCAGCGGTGGGTCAGTGGTCCTCAGCCCTGACTGCAAGTGAGAATCATCTAGGGCAGTTTTAAAATACCAATGCCCGAGCCTTTCTCCAGACCCATGAAATCAGAACCTCTGGGGGTGCTCCACTGTTCCCATTTTGCAGAAGCTTCCCCTCCTCCTCCACCAGACAGTTTCCTCCTTGCCTCCCGAGTTAGCTGAAACCTTCTCTGCAAGGACCCCTGATTCCTCCGATTCTGGGTTCTGGGCCCCTTCTGAGCTGTCCTTGCTGGTTTGCGCACCGGTGCTCCCCAACTCTTAGCTCCTCACGGGCAGGGACTTCAGCTGACCTATCCTTTATCTGACCTAGAGTAGACACTAGATACATACTGATTGGATGAAGAGAATGAATGAATGGATCTCATTTAGATTATAGTTTGCCTCTTCCTAGAGTTCTACCTTGGGGCCGGCCCGGTGGCGCAGAGGTTAAGTTCACACATTCTGCTTCGGCGGCCTGGGGTTCGCCGGTTCGGATCCCAAGTGTGGACCTTCGCACCGCTTGTCAAGCCGTGCTGTGGCAGGCATCCCACATATAAAGTAGAGGAAGATGGGCATGGATGTTAGCTCAGGGCCAATCTTCCTCAGCAAAAAGAGGAGGATTGGCAGCAGTTAGCTCAGGGCTAATCTTCCTCAAATAAATAAATAAATAAAATAGAGCTCTACCTTCTCACTAAGAACTGGGATTAACCCAAGTCCAAAATTTGGGTTCAGAAGGTTTTTCCCCTGTGCAGGTGGAGTGTTTAAGAAGAGGTGGAGAACTGGTGAAATGAGCTGACAGCCAGGACAGCGGCTCCCGCCCTCTCCTGCTGAGCACAGGCAGCAGAAGGAAGCGGTCTCTTCCCTCCTCGTTGCCATGGTCCCTTGAGCCAAAACGCCCCCCACCCTCCATCGTTGGCCTCTGTGTTCCCACCGCTGGGGTCCAGGCAGGGCTGCTCTTGCCCCAACAGGGTCTAGAGCTGAGAAGGTGGAGGAGGTCTTCCTGGGGAAAACAGAGGGAGGAGGCCTGGCAGGAACAGTCCCCCAGGGAAATTCTTCATCTGTAACTTCCCCGAAGGCCTGAGGGGCCACATCTGGGGCAGGGACTGCACAGTCGTTGTCTCTGACCCTCAGCACCAGGTGGTGACTGGCGTCCATAGCTCCCAGGGAATCCAAGTTTCTGATGCCACTGAGAGGCACAAAATGCGAGGCCGTGATTCCCAATCCGAGAGCTGAGCGCCTCAGGGGAGATGAAGAAGCTGAACGTTCCAGATGAGGTTTTACACTGGTTATCAGGGAGCCCCTGCTGTTTGCCACAACTACCTGGAAGTCCAGCCAACAACTGACCTCGCTGGGTTCCAAATCAGATCTCCTTCCCACCCCTCCCCCACCCGAAAGTGCCTCCTCCCTGTGACTTCCCCATTTCTATAAATAACCCCACATCCTCCCAGCCAACATTGCAGTCATTTTTTATTCTTCCCAGGCCCCCAACTCCCTGGCCTACTCATCCCCCTCCCCCACCCAGTGTCCCTGTAGCCTCGGCCTCCTCACACTCGCACACCCCCATCCTGGACCTCCCCACTGCCCAAAGCAGTGGCCTTCTGCCTTGGCCCCTAATGCTGTGTCTTCTCCTTCAGTGGCACCCTCAGACCACTGCCAGGACAGCCCTGACTGTGTGATTCCCCTCATCAAAGCTCTCCTGGGACCCCACCCCTACAGAAGAAAACCCAGCCTCCCACAGCACCACTAAGACTCACAAAACGGCTCCAACTTGCCTCCTGGCCCAGCTCTCCTGCCAAACACCTCTCTCTATTGCACTCTGCCCCAATCCCCAAGTGCGCCCTGTGCTTCTGTGCCTGCTCCTTTCTGCATTTAGAAGCATCACCTTTCCCAAGGTCAAAGTCCTGCTCATTCTTCTGGACCATTTCAAAAGCATTCCCCTTGAAGCCACTCCTGACCCTTCCTTCCTTTGCATTCCCATCAGGCCCAGCCGGCAGTGTTGCTCAATGGAGAGCGCCCAGCCTGTGTTGTCCCCTGGCCACAGTTAAACAGCAGCTTTGCCCTTTACTAGCTGAGTGACCATGGGAGAGTCCCTTAGCTTCTCTGGGCCATGGTTTCCTCATCTTTAGGGTTGCGGTGAAGACAAATTGTGACAGCACATTATAAGTGCTCAATAAATAGCGGTTGATACTCCTTCAGATGGCTCAGCTGAGCCAGCTGTGAGCCCGCCTGCAGACACACGTGGACGGACATCTCCTGTCCAGCCCTGCTTGTTTTCAGCTGTCCATGGGCTACATCTGGTCACCTCCTCCCTGGGGGTTTTCTGAGCTGCAGTCTGACCTTCCTCAAGGTGCATGAGGCTCTCTGCCCATCTCCCATCCCCATCGCCCGCCCCCCTGCTCACAGCTCCTCCCAGAGCCCATCAAAGCCCAGCGGGGCTGGCTCCACAACATACACATCCACTTTGGGGTACCCTCACCAACCCAAGAGCTGCAAAGTGCTCCCAGAGCTGCCAGTCGATGATCTTCAAATGACTTTAACCTGGGGAGAAAAAAACCATCGCACGCTGGTTGATGCTAAATGAACCTATTTGCACTAAATCAATCGTACTTAGCTTGGTTCCTGCCTAATGAGCTCTCCCGGAGCCCCGCCATGAATTAGTTCAGTGCAGAGTTCCCCCTTCAAGGAAGCTGATGGTGATTAGTCCCACTTTCCAGATGGGAATAGAAGACAGAGGCTGATCAGGCCTACCGGAGATGGCAGGGCAGATTTCTGGGACAGCAAGAAGGCGAGCACACATCTCAGGGCCAGGGGCTGGGGAGGGGTTGGCGCTGCATAGCGGAACCCCAGGAGGGGAGGCCTGCTTAATTCTGAGAGGGTTCCAGGAACAGAGTTGACAGAAGAGCTGCAGTGAGGGATGCTTCCAACCCAAGCCCAGTTTGTATTGTCCCCAGCAGAGAAAACAGACCATTTTCTGTGTCCTTCCTGACTTCACCGAATGCAGAACAGACCATGAGCCCAGGGGAAGACCAGAGAAACACAAAGCAGCACACTCATCATTGTTATTTCTGGGTCTGCTTCACTCATGCGGTGCCGCCTGGGGACCTCCATGGAGGAGGAGGGACAGTCCACCACCTGATGGGGCAGCTCCCTCAAAGTCACTGTGAATTTCCAAATGTAAAATTCATTAAAGTCACGTCCCTAATGGCCTCAGGAATGCACACTTTTACTCCCCAAGTGAACCGCATCAAAGGATATATTTGTCAACACCATTTTTCTCCCCATCCCTAGAGACCATCATATCCCTTCCAAAGTCCATGGTGGGTGGCGGTTCTGAGCAGTTCTGACGGGGACCCTACCTTCCCAGCTGCTGGGCGGGGCCAGGCTGGACCCCAGGCTGCTCTGACGGGAAACTGGGCTGCTCTCAGTACACCCTCACTTCACCTACAGCCCGGCCAGGGAAGGGCCCCCAGCCCACACACTCTCGCTTCCTCTTTCCTAGAACAGAAATACAGCAGCAGCTTCACACACTGCACTTGGAGATATTTCGTAGACCTTTTCCTACTCCCGGACTTTATTCTCTTCTGCATCTTTTATTCCATCTTCCGCACCACTCAAGTTTTCCTCTCCGCTCGGCTTTCTCTTTCTTGCTCTCTTCCCCTTTTATCTTTCCTACCCAGGGCGCTAGAGCACCCATTCCTTCTGAGCTTTCTTCCTTCTCCAAGCCCCCTTTCATGCCTCAGTCTCCCTCTGTCCCTTCTCCTGCTGAGTCCTGAGACTGGAGTGCCCTCAGCCTCATTCCCAGGCCTTGTGCCCCTCTATTGCAAGCTCCTCCTTCTCCTCAGTTCCGAAGAAAGCTGGCCAGAGAAACCCGTCTCCTCCCCTTTGCCTCCCCCCTCTCTTCCCAGGCACACAAAAGGGGACAGAGGCACCAGATGGCCTGGTGCTAGCTGAGGGGCTCGGAGAGGCTGCCGCCCCACAGAGGCCCCCGCTGGGCCTTCGAGCTAGTCCAAGCTGCTGCCCGGCCCAGCCGCCCAGCTGGCAGAGGAGCGGGGCACGGGGCCAGCATCCTCAGCACAAGGCCAGCTCCCCCTGCCAGCTCCTCCTGCCCAGCCTGCCCCCTAGGCCAGCCCAGGGAGGGGGCATGCTCGCCAGCTGAAAAGCAGAGAGTGTCACCACATGTCCAAGCCCCAGGGGCCAGGGCCCAACGGCCTGGGCAGATACTGGGCTTTCCCGGGAGGGAGGACGAGTCCTGGCAGTCTGCTCTTTCTAGGGGACAGGCTGTGTCTCATCAATGGGTGAGTGGCCCACAGAGGAGTGAACTGTCCCCCAACTCCCCCCCAAAAGGGTTTGATGACGCAGCGTGTAGTGTTAACGGCTACCATTTCCTTGGTGGTTAGCTGAACCAGGCATGGTGCTAAGTCATTTACCATAGTTTCCCTCATCCTTCAATAGTCCTGCAGGGTAAGTATCTGGAGCCCCATTTTACACACAAGGAAACTGAGGCTCAGAGAAGTTCAGTGACTTGCCCCAAGCATCAGAGCTGGATAGCCAGTTAGCAAGATTAAAGCTCCTTTTCCAGCTAAGATGCTGCAAGTCCTGCTGAGGTCATGTTCCAAAGCTGGGTGCCTACTCTCTCTTTTTGCTCCAAATACCCCACGACGGCCTTTGGAAAAGCCGCATGGTGGGCGTGGGGCAGAAGATTCAAACCCAGCTGGCGATTGCAAGAGCCTGAGGG